ACACACACACACACACACACACACACACACACACACGAATAACACGTTTTCACTGGTGGTCTGAGAAACTAGACAATTTCATAAGTCTTTCATAAACCTCAATGGAATATTTTTCTTTAGGTCTGCAATTCTGCTAATTCTCTCCATCTTTCAATTTCAACCAGAATAAAAGAATAATAACAATAATAACAACAACAACATTCCCCCAGTAACTTTGACTAAAGGCCTGAGTGATAAGGACAGTGAAACCCATCCATAACTCTTGTCCTGGGCCACATCACATCTCCAGGAGTTTAGAAGAGAATATATTCTACATACAGTCTCAAAGACAGCATTCAGTCTCAGCATTCACGTTGAGACTATCTTGATCTAGTGACATCAGATAAGAACCTTAAATGGAGTAAGATGGCATCAAACCACTGGATCTCAGAAGGACTCTGTTTCCCCCCCAAACAAAAACCGCTGCACTACCAGGCCTCCTTTGGGTTTCTTCTCTTTACTGTCAAACAGGTACTGACTTATAGTTGACACTCCAGCAAGTTGTATGAGGCTGTAAAATTGCTCCAGAGGAGATTTTCCAGCTTTCCCCCAGGGAACAACTGGCGGGTTCAAACTGCGTGCCTTAGGGCTGGCAGTGCAAGTCCTTACCAGTAGGTACCAAAAGCACCAAAACAAATAAATAAAACCAAATCGATGGTAGCTGGTCCATTCCAATCCAGAGGAGAGGAGGACCCTCAGTGAAATGGCCTGACCTGGTGACAGCAGCAATGGGCTGGGTAGGATAGAGCAGGATTGTGAGGATGGCGCAGTTGAGACTGCTCATAGGATTGCTGTTTCAGAGTTGCCCTGACAGTGCTTAACAAAAACAATGTTATTAATTGTTGTTGGGTGCTGGTGAGTGCAACTGTGACCCTGTGAACAACTGATCTGCCCCCCAGGGCATCCTCACAGTCTCTGACACACTTAAAGCCATTACCACAGTCACCATGTCAACCAACCTAAACGAAGGTCTTCCTCTCTGTTGCTGCCCCTCCACCTACCTAAGCATGATGTCACTCTGCAAGAAATAACCTCTCCTACAACATGCCCAAAGCTTCATCATCTTTGCCTCCAAGGAGCACTCTGGTTGCACCTTCTCCAAGACATGTTTGTCCATGTAATCTTCAGCACTCTTCTCCAACACCATAGTTAAAAGGCATCAATACTGTCATCCTTATTAATTGTCCATTTCACACCACCATAGTGATTGAAAAGACTATGGCCTGAATCAAGGACACCTTAGTCCTCAAACTGCCATCATTACTCCTCAATAGTTTGGAGAGGTCCCTGACTACATGCTTTCTCAGTGCAATATGTCTCCTGATCTGACAGCTGATACCAACAGTATTAATTGTGGACTCAAATAAGATGAAGTCATTGACAGTTTCTGTCCTTTCTCTATCCATCGTGATGTTGCCCATTGGTCCAGTGACAAGGATTTTTGTTTCCTTGATATTGAGATGCACTCCTGTGGGGGACTCAGATATGGAGCCTTCTAAACTGTGAGACTTACTTTATTGTATTGGGGAATTGATCTGCAAATTGCTAATTATTTTGTAGCTTGGATATTTGTATTCTTGCTTGTTTATCAGTGTCCTAATTAGTGCAATGCTTGTCTGTCAGTTTGCTGTGCTGGTGGCTTAGTGTGATGCTGAAAGCTGTACTACTGGTGATTCAAATGACAGAGGAGTCACCCATGGTGGACAGGTTTTAGTGGAGCTCTCAGATTAAGGTAGACTAGGAAGCAGGATTGGCCATCCACTTCTGAAATAACAGGACTCTGAAAACCCTATGAACATAGAGAAACATGAATAGATAGAGAGGTAGAGCCAAGATTGGCAGTAAATTAAACTGAGGAGAAATAGCTGCAAACATCCTTTAATAATGGGGACATGAAATGTACAGGGTATGAATACTGGAAAGCTAGAAGTGAAAAATGAAACGGAGCACATGAAGAACTAGTTTCCAACAATTTTATTCTCCTTACACACCTCCACCCCCCTCTGCCTCAACTCTGTGACTAGAACATTTACAAGAAAAAAGCAAAGCAAGTCAATTTGACCAAGCAGATGGGGCTGGGGAAGGCCATTCACATCAGTATTTGGAAAGCTTCTTCCTAATTAGGAATTTCTGATCTTTATCCCCAGGTCAGAGACCAAAGTCTTTGTAACAGAGGCTATTTGAGTATCTGGTTGAAATTTGGCAACTTTTTTTAATATCTTTTTTTTTTTTTTTAACTTTTGGTTACAAAGTGAAATGTACTGAATTTTAACTTACTTTTATGCTTTTAACACTGATTACATTTTTATACCATGATTATTAATTTGAATTTGGAAAACACAGGACGGAAGTGAAAGGAGAAAATGATTATACAATAATCTCTTACCCAGGGATGCAGGCTAGGACAGGGTTTAGGTCTGTTCATAGGTTTGCTATGAGTTGTACCCAACTGGATGACACTTAACTTACCCAATGAAAATGATGAAAATTCTACAGTTGTATTATTAATATTCATTGTTGTGAATAAAAGGCAAACTAAACCCACTGTTATCAAGTTGGCCTCCAACTCATAAAGACCCTCCCTTGAGTTTCTAAGGCTCTAAATTTTTATGGGAGGAGACTGCTCATAGCTCCCATCAAGCAACTGGTGGATTTGAACCGTGACCTTCTGTTTAACTGTCCAATACAGAACACACTAAACCACCATGGCTAATTATAATGTACAGTGTGTTGAGATCATATTGTGCATATGTATATATTTACATCTCCATATGTATAAAGTTTTGTAACATGCTCTTTCTGCTTGTAGTGCAGCACTTTGTTATCACAGTTTGATGAATAATGTGCTTTGTTGATGGCAGGGCATTCCTCTGACACCCCCATCTGCAAGGTGTGTGCACGTGGGATTTCTAACCATCACTTGGTTGTCTTACTCACTAGCATCATTTTTCCCTTACAATTGTAAGGTCATAGCTGACCCAGTGAAAAACTCCAGTGGGTTTTTCAGAGGTGGTTTTAATGGCACAGAAAGAGATTTCCTAGCCTTCTACCCCAGATCCAGAAGCTGGTGGATTTGAACAACGTGCCTTTGAGACTGCAGTGCGTCTTCTTACCAGTAGACCACCAGAGCTTCCCTGCACCAAAGCAGTAGTTCTTCTCAGGGTTCCCAAAGAAACTTCAAAAACAGGCAGTGGGATAAGGATAAATAGTGTATAAGACTGTTATTATAGAAAGAGTATAAGGATTCAGGAGGGGTGGGAGAGGCTGGAAGCAGAGGGATGTGGATGTACAAGGGGAAAGAGGGGATTAATCATTGGGTTGTGCAATTTGATGGGGGGGGGTGAAGGAAATGCAAAGAATTTGTTCAAATTTGTAGTAAAATTTTATAAATAAACTAGTGAAAATAAAACCCCAGACGGTGGGAGTGGTGTTTGTGGGACATCTGGAAGGTGGTTCATCTATCTATTACTTAGACATTCTGGATGTTAGAGAGATTCATGTTTTGTGCTAAGAGGTCAGACCCTTTTAGCATACTGTAGTCTGTTGTCGACATCTGTTAGGATTTATCTACTCCTAATTCTCTAGCTCTTATTGGATTAAACTGTCAGAACATTAAACAAAACCAGCTTGTGCTTCATGGCTTTAGGATTTGAAACAGAAAATGTTATGGCTAGAGATATTGTTGTTGGGTACTTTTAAGTGGGTTTCGAGTCATAAGGATCTTGTATGCACAACAGAATGCAACATTGCCTGGGCCTGTACCATGCTCAGAGCTGTTGCGCTCCCTGAAGATCTTCCTCCTTTTTTTCCACTGACATTCTTCTCCATCAAGCATAGTTCTCTATTCCAGGCACTAGTAACTTGTTAACGTATCCAAAATACGTGAGCCAACTCTCACCATCCTTCCTTCTAAGGAGCATTCTGGCTGTACCGATTCCAAGATAGGTTTGTCCTTCTGGCAGTCTGTGTTCTGTGCCAACACCATAATTCAAAGGCATCAGTTCTTCTTTGGTGTACTTATTCATTGCTCAGTTTCACATATGCATGAGGCTATTGGA